TCTTCATGCCTTATGCCTTGAACAATGTGAAGGACAGATATAGTTTAAAACACCTTTAAAATAGGTACATCACCTGGTTCTATGATTCTCAGGATTAGCTGGTAACGTTTAGGTGAATAATCAGTACAAGTCAGATACCTGTCATGCAACATTTTATCCTAGAAAGTTTATTTAATACAGTTATGTTTTTGAAAAGAGAATTTTAGAAGAGAAAGTATTAAGTGACCTCAACATCAGGCAAAATTGTAAACTCTGTTATAATCCACTGGGTTTTTTTAATTGTCTGGAAGGTTGGGAGAAGAGGAGGGAAAAGTGAGACCAAAACTACCATGTTGGAGCATCAAACATGCAGCTAATGATGGAAACAGATCTTCTGACTCTCACCTTTTCTGGCTAAAACCTGGTACCACACAATACTGGAGCATCAGATTGGACAACAAAAGGAGCCTGATCAAATGCACTCTAGCTTTTAGCTGTAAAGGCTTCAAAATTAGGCTGAGGGAGAGGGAGAAATTATACAATATATAGCACATTTGCATGGTTTGACAATCCTATCTATGATATTCAGAATTGCACAGCATTCTGAGGGAGTGTTGGGTTGCTTTTTATTTATTTATTATTATGGTTCTTCAATTTAAAAGCTACAGACTACTGGTACATACACATTCTTGTAAAGAATTTAAGGGTGGATTCAAAGCTGCAGAACTTTTTGCAAAATTATTTGCATTTCAAAGCAGTAGAAGTGGCTGGTTTGGGTGAGATCACACAGAACTATTAAATAATAGTTTTAATGAGCTTTCTTAATTGCATAACTGAACTTTGACTGAGGTCCTGTGTTGAAAAAGAGTATCAGCCAACAGCAACTTGACCATTGACTTTGGACTTAAGAAACAGAGACAGAGAAAGACAAAAGGGAGGTGTTCAGTTAATTTTTATTTTTCAGTAATGAATTCCTTGATATATTTCATTTTCCCAAGTGTATCAAAGTGTGATAAATACCTCAGAAAGGTCAGGAAAACAATTTTACATGTTCTTTTTCACATTCAAGCATATAAAAACTGCTGGTTCATAATTATTTATTATATTATTAGAATTCTTCTGAGAACAAGCTATAATTTTAGAGAAGTACTCCACAGTGCAAGGCATACTACAGTCACAGAGCAAAAAGTTGATACTATTATCTTACGTGTATGTATATATGTATATTTTTATGTATGCATTTTCTTGCATGTATGATGATAGTGAAGAAAAGATGTACAGAGGGATGCAAAGAAGGATAATGAAGTAATCCTGCAGATATGCAGAGGCAATTCCTATACTGGCAAAGGATATGTAATGCTGGTTGTTTAAGCAGGAGTGAAATATGTCATGTTTAACAGTGGCACGGATAGTGCAGCACAGTGCCAGTGATGTTGCCTACTAATTAACGTCCCACAAGTCTAAAGAAATGGGAGAAATAATTTTTCACTGCAAGAATTCATCTTGCAGTGAAAATTATCTTTTAATGGTATAATTTCATTCAGATATTTAAACAATAGCATTGTTCTTGGATGGATGTATAATAAGAAGCAATGGTGATCACACTGACACAAAATATACTTTAGGGATGAAGATGTATCCCTTCAAATGTTCTCACACTGAAGGCCCAAAGGAGGCCCTGCTAGTGATGTTACTGGACGTGTCCTGACAGCACCATTTCACCTTTATTAAATTCAAACTGGACCATATGCAATAGCTTGTCAAAGTTCACTGTAGGTTTCTCCCAACATTCACTTTGTCCTGCAAAGAGTCAGAAATCTTTAAGTTGCCCGTATTTACTTTGCTAGACCTTTTTAACTTTTGTCCATTATTTGTACAATGACGTAGGTTTACATTTTTTGCATAATGAAGGTAAAGTCATTTTTGCACAAAGTGGTTCAAAGCCAAGGGTGTAGTCACAGATGTGTTTAGCAGGAAGCATGGTAGTATCATCTGGGTCAATGTAAACTGAAATAATCAATTTATGTTTTCTTTTAACCTGTACTTATTGAACCAAGTAATCTTTGTTTTTCTGACTTGAATTTAATATAATTTATTATTTTTCCTCATTGATATGTAATTTACCCCAGCTTAAGTCTCAGTTCTGAACCCTGCTAGCCTGCAAGTGCATATGCACACACATGCACGCACGCACCCTTATAGATAAATGCATATCCATTTTCATCTGTGTGCACATGATCTTGAAGAAGGCAATGGTTAATGTTTGACGTGCTTTATTAACACCACTTTTCTTTTTTCCAGCCACAGTCAAAAAATCCTTTTATCATCTTTTATACTGTCCATCTTCTAATTTATAATACTCAGAAGTTTTAGTTACGAGGTGACTTGGGTAGCTGCACAAAACATTTCATATTTTTGCTATCAGAAACAAACACTCCAGGGGTGCTTGTTGTCCACTGAACCTGTTTACTTTGTGCTTCATAGGTTAGTTGAATAAGATAGGAAATGAATTCCCTGCATGCTAGAAGTATCCTTATGAAAGCGCTAACCTCACAGACTGAGCTCTGAAAGTAATGATCAGAGCACACGAAAGCCACTTTGATCCAAATTCAATGCAAACACCTAACTCACAGACCCCTATAGATTTCCAGTTTTAACTTAATGCCTAATGAAGTGAAGTTTATCTCTGAAAACCTTTGTCACAGCTGGACATAACTAGCAATAGTTACTTGCAAGACTACAACTTAAGGAGGAAACTAAATGGATCTCAGCTGGTTGTCCTTCTAGGACAAAGTTGAAATGTGCTTTTATAGGTAGTACAATAAAGAATAGTCTTCATCTAGGTCCCCTGACTACACTGCAAAGCCAGCATGCAGTTTGCCTTATATTATTAATCTCTGCCACAGAAGTGTCAGAATGGAAAGAAGAAGCCGCATCAGTCAAGAGTGAGATTCCACGACAGAGTTATGAGAGGAGTAATATGTGTACCGTTAATTTATGGTCAAAGAACACAATTTATATGCAGCTTCAAGAAAATGTATTGTTCACCCAACTAAGTTTTTAACAGTCAAAGCACAACAGCTGTTTATTACTTAGTCCAGTTACAATAATTCTAATCTTAACAATCCAAACCACCCAGTTTCTGCTGAAGATTGTTAATGATCCAAAAAGATCAGTAGATCCAAGAATGTGCTCTTTTTCTTGCATGTTGAGTCCCCACCCTTCTGATCACCCACAGTCTGAGAGGGCAGCCCTCCTCTCTCAGGCCGGATGATTTGGTGAGTTATCATATCCCAAGTTGTTTGCTAGGGGTGGATGGTGGTGTTGCAGCAGAGTTACTGGTGGGAGTTTCTTCTTTATCAATCTGGAGTTTACTCAGTATTATTTCTATGTGTTTCAAACAGCTTATTTGCTAAAATAACTGTCTGGTTGCTTCATAAATTTGGTTATACCATATTTGTTTAAATCTGTGAATCCTTCTCTGTGTACAGGAGAATTTCTTTTATACAATCCACATGACTGTGCACAGACAAACAAAACGACTCAAATTTAAGTTGAAAACTTCTTAAGTGCTAACTAGATGATTCTCAGGTCAGACAGTGAATGCCTAGCTATTGGGCAATTTTGTCATTATGGGTAGGACAAGCTGGGCGATAGTCATCTGTCCAGACCTGAGAAGAAGTTACAGGCAGGAGTTATGTAAATAATTTTAAAAGTACAACTGAAATGAAGCCTAAATTAACCAATCCGGAAAAGGTCTCACAAGGCCTGAGGCACTGTGTAATGTTGCTAATATTATGAAGCCTGACTCCCAGTACTACCGCTTGGCTTCATCAAGTTGGCTGTAGCACAGGAGATAAGGCACTTCCATAGTCCTTGTTTGCAGTGTGCCTTACCCTGCAAGTGTCTCAGACATAACCTTCCTTTGATGAACACCTACATTATTCTTTTTTTCTTCTTCTTTTAAATGGGTTATTGAGTGTCTTTGTTTAGTAGATACCCTTGAAAAATTTCGTCTCTTGCCTTTGGTGACTAAACGTGTAAAGTACAGCCTTTGGAGAAAGGTAGTTAATTTTATAGAGGTTATCTTGTCTTCTACTATCCTCAGTTTTAACCTGAAGGCAAGAATGAATAAATCTCTTACTAACTCTGTTTTCCATGGAATCTGTTGTGCTTCTTTGGACATTGTGCTGCTTAAACACAGACAGCTCATCTTATCTTGTTTTTCTCTCCCTCAGAGCTAGTTTACTTGTCTTGGAAGTACAAAGATGTATTCTGTAAACCCTTCTCAGGTCTTTGGTTCTAAAAACGACATAAAATCTCTCTGTGTAATAAAAGCAAAGAATCCATTTGTACTTAATACAAATTCTAATCAGAGATACACCAGTTCTTCCTTCCTCATCTGAGCCATTGTGTATGTGTGAACAAGCTCCATCTATTTATAGCTATAATGTATGCAATAAATATTATGAGGAATCTTTCCATTGTCAAGGAGCTCCTTTTCTTGAAGATAATACGTCATTAAGGTTTGCCTTAAAACATTGACGTGAATAGGAAAGGCAAAAGCCTAGTCTCATATCACCCCACAGAGGCTCAATGCTATAAACTTATCACAAAAGTAATTAGCCCTATTTGCAGAATGTATGGTGTTTATCGCTGAATAAGTTATAGCACTGTCTTGAGGAGACCCACTGAGGGTGAGAAAAGGATAAAACCTAACCTCCTTTACTGTTTGCAGTAGGAGAAGCTGTTTTGTCTCCTCTGACATCTAGAGGGCAAATGCTGGATAAACAGATCTTCTACAAGTCCAATAATAGTAAAGGAAAATCTGCTTCTCTGTTGCTTTTGTCAATCACAATAGGTTTTTATTGTTTTGTTTCAAGTTAAAACACATGTCCCTGCTTTGAAATGGTACTGTAAAATTGGCACAGATCTCCTTCTGCTGCAGACTTAAATTCTCCCCTTTCCCATCCTCATCTCCACAGGCCCTTGACGGACGGTTAGACCGGATCAGTGGAGTCATGCGTCACACAGCTGTATCATGCTGGCAGCCGTTCCTGGGTCTGGCTGTGCTGCTAGTCTTCATGGGTCCCACCATAGGCTGCCCAGCCCGCTGTGAATGCTCAGCACAGAACAAGTCCGTCAGCTGTCACAGAAGGCGTCTGATGTCCATCCCAGAGGGCATTCCCATTGAGACCAAAATCTTGGACCTCAGCAAGAACCGACTAAAGAGCGTCAATCCTGAGGAATTCATGTCATACCCTCTACTGGAGGAGATTGACCTCAGTGACAATATAGTTGCCAATGTGGAGCCTGGAGCATTTAACAATCTCTTCAACTTGCGCTCCCTGAGGCTGAAAGGAAACCGTCTGAAGCTAGTTCCCCTTGGGGTGTTCACTGGGTTGTCAAACTTAACAAAGCTTGATATAAGTGAAAACAAGATTGTCATTTTGCTGGATTACATGTTCCAAGATCTGCATAACCTAAAATCCCTCGAGGTTGGGGACAATGATTTGGTTTATATATCACACAGGGCCTTTAGTGGACTGCTTAGCCTGGAGCAGCTCACCCTGGAGAGATGCAACCTCACAGCTGTACCAACAGAAGCTCTTTCTCATCTCCACAACCTCATCAGTCTGCATCTGAAACAGCTCAACATTAATGCTTTGCCTGCTTATGCCTTTAAAAGACTGTTTCGCCTGAAAGACCTAGAGATAGATGCCTGGCCCCTCCTGGACATGCTACCTGCCAACAGTCTGTATGGTCTCAACCTTACTTCTCTCTCCATCACCAATACCAACCTGTCTGTAGTACCTTACTCCGCTTTTAAACATCTGGTTTACCTGACACATCTAAACCTCTCTTACAACCCTATCAGCACCATTGAAGCAGGCATGTTTTCAGATTTAGTGCGCCTGCAGGAACTCCACATGGTGGGGGCCCAGCTACGTGCCATTGAATCACACGCTTTCCAAGGGCTGCGGTACTTACGTGTGCTTAATGTGTCCCAAAACCTGCTAGAAACCCTAGAAGAGAACGTATTCCATTCCCCCAAAAGCCTTGAGGTCCTCTGCATTAACAACAATCCTCTGGCCTGTGACTGCCGTCTCCTTTGGATTTTACAGAGGCAACCCACTTTGCAGTTTGGAGGCCAGCCACCAATGTGTGCTGGCCCAGACAGTGTCAAAGAGAGGTCATTCAAAGACTTTCACAGCACAGCTCTTTCCTTTTACTTCACCTGTAAGAAGCCCAAGATACAAGACAAGAAGTTGCAATACCTGGTAGTGGAGGAAGGGCAGACGGTGCAGTTGATGTGCAATGCTGACGGGGATCCGCAGCCTACCATATCCTGGGTTACTCCACGTCGGAGGCTGATCACAGCTAAATCAAATGGAAGAGCCACTGTGCTGGGAGATGGTACCCTGGAGATCCGATTTGCTCAAGACCAGGACACTGGGATCTACGTTTGTATTGCAAGTAACGCAGCTGGGAACGACACCTATTCGGCCTCTCTTACAGTAAAGGGGTTTACTTCAGACCGTTTCCTTTACGCCAACAGGACCCCTATGTATATGACAGACTCCAATGACACAAGTTCCAATGGAACTAATGTGAACACCTTCTCTCTGGACCTTAAGACAATATTGGTGTCCACAGCTATGGGCTGTTTCACATTCCTTGGAGTGGTTTTATTTTGTTTCCTCCTTCTTTTTGTGTGGAGCCGAGGGAAAGGCAAACACAAAACCAGCATTGACCTTGAATATGTCCCTCGCAAAAACAATGGTGCTGTGGTTGAAGGGGAGGTTGCTGGACCACGAAGGTTCAATATGAAAATGATTTGATGGTATTCTGCTAGCAGTGCTTTTTCTGTGGCATTAAAACCAATTAAACCAGCCTGGCATGCGGAATCGCTAGGCAGAAGCAGCTTAATGCAGCTGTCACTGTATCAAAAGGTTACATGAAAATGGAAAGACTATTTGTGGTTATACAGCAGAGCCTCCAGACATTGAGGCAGATATGTCAGGGCCTTTCATAGAACTGGTAAATTGTACTAACTGTTTGCATTGCAAATATTGGCATTCTGGGGATATCAGCAATGAACCGCTGGCTCATGCTCATGGACAGTTATTCAACATTTTCTACCACTACAAAAAGGAAAAGAAAAAAAAAGCCTACAGTGTAGGATTTACATACTTAAAGAAAAAGACACATTTGTCTAAAACATACTCTACAGTGAAATTTGTATCTATAGATCTCATTTGGTAAAACCTTGCATCCTCCCTTCTAGCTGGTTCAACACCACAAAAAAATTAGTAGTTTTTTTTTAATCTACATCTATACTGTGTACATTTTAAAGCAATACAAATGAGAGGTTGTGCTTTTAGATAACCACCAATACTGACCCGTGTGATGTCACCCTCCTTTTAATGACCATCTAACCCAAATTAGACTCTTGTAGTTACCAATTAGAAATAACGTAAGATATTTTTCTCCTCATGTAGAAGGCCAGAGATGAATAGTTGAAAGCAAAAACGCTCAGCTCTGTTGATCTTCTCTTCATATAAATATAAGGCATGTGCCTAGTTTTGATACAGAATGGAATATTTTTTATACCTGTGATATCACACTGGACCAGTTTACTGTAACATAGCCCTGGATGTCACCCAGGGAAGGCAACCCACTAGACATTGCTGGCATAGAGGAGTTGAGTTCTACCTTGAAGAGAGAGAGTTGGTTTTGTTAGCCCTGATTTTAATTTCAAAGCAACTGTTAAAATGTTAATGTGTACTGGGAAAAAGGAAAGAACATAATAAATTCTGCATACTCCTTGGGAAATATGGTCATCTTACTATTTATACAAGTGAATTAAAACATATGAAAGCTCTGCTACTAGGAACGAACTCTTCTCCAATGCCGAGTAAACTAGGGTTGTCCATGCATAATATGGGGATTATAGTACTAAAATAATGTTTAAAACATGATAGCCTCAAAAAGGCTAACATACTGCCAGATAAAATGAACCTCTAGCCACTGTCATTCTCATCTTGTATATTTGTAGATAACACATAAAAGCAAAACTAATTTCCGAGAACAGATTACTTAGCTATTCTTGATGACATTTTAGTAACTATGATGTGGTTATGTTTCTTTCAGGGGCAGTATCTTAGAGCAAGAGGGGCATGTTTTTCCAGGTTTTAGGAATCTTTTTAAATGGCAAGAAGACAGAAGTGGAACGTTAGTTCAGTGCAAATAACCTTTCTTGTTTTATGCTCCAAACAAATCTTCAAAGGCTCAGAACTGAAACTTTATTCTTTATTCTTTATTGTTGATACCACTGCTCTTATTCTGAAATTCTCAACAATGGGAAGATACAGAGTTGTTCAGCCACGTCTCAATTTTCCGGCAATTATGAGCCATAATTTTGTTGCTAAGTGGCTGGTAACAAATACAATTTATAAATGATTGGCATAACCTGCAGTAAGGATAATAATGACTATGTATGTGTTTAGCCAAAATGAATATAAAATGAATATATTATAAAACAGAATATTCAGATTAATGTGGTTTAAGAGCCTGTGTCCAATCTTAAAATTAGGTTTCAACACTTTGAATCCAAAGTCAGGCTGACCTATAATGGGATGTAGGTGCTTCTAAAATTAGTATCCACATTCTCTGGCAGAGATTTTCTAAGCCAGATAAAGATCTCCCACTCCTATCAAGGGAAATGTGCCAAAAGTTGTAAAATCCAGCTGTGCTCCCCAGGTCTACCCCTAACAGCTGTAGGACCTGAGGCCAGGCAGTTTTAAGAATCTCTTTTTTAGTGGTTGAACTTTGGTTGCGTTGTTGCTCCATTTTAGGTCCCAAAACTGAGGAGGATGCAAAGGTTGTTAGAATTTTCTTCATCTTAGTTGGTTTTAAGTTAAGAGTTGGGTTTTCTTGCTTCCTTTTTCTTGTGCTCTGAACTAGATAGTTGGACACTTGTGGAGATGCTTGAGACTAATCCTCTTTGTTCTATGACAGTTTGTAGAACACTAATAAAATAAAATAACCCCTGTCTAAATTCTAACACCAGGGAAATTATTTTTGCTGATATAATAAACACCGCACTGAAGTCCAAAACTTTAATGTACCTTAATGTGGGCAGTTAAAGAAACAAATGGGGATAAAACAAAGTGTTTCTGAACTGCCCATTGAAGACATTTGCATGTGCCTTTCCCTTGTAATTGTCATTTTTTCAACTAGTAACCTATTGCCCCTGCAGTCATTTCATGTTAAATGTTAAAATCAATGTTTAGAAGCAAAAATTCTCCTAAATTCTAGACAGTTGCAGATGATTGCTTCATATTAAATGACACAATAAAAAAAAACTCAAAAAAAACTAGAAAAAATGTGCTTTTAGGTTTAATTATGAATTGCTGAATTCCCCCATTCCCTTAGAATGACTCTAAAAAGTGATTGCATTGTTAGTGCACTGCAAGGATTTCTGAGCAGCAACGTGCTTAGTTACCTGTGTGAAATGCGTGCTGGTGATGAAAATCACCACTTGCTCTTGCTCAGCACCACCTTGCAGAGCTGTCAGCGTTGTGTGTATTGCCTTGAGTTCGGTCAGTATTCAGTTTTTAAGAATCAGTGTTTGCTCCCTGCCTCTAGCAATGTTCTACTTTTTGCAGCCTACTTATTTCACCATCGACTTGACAAGGCATATGGCACCTCTTAACAGAAGTGAGGACAGAAAGACTCAGAGACAAGCTTTTATCTTGCTCCACATAGTCTTCTTTATATGTATTCATGGGACACATGCTCACTGTGGCTGTTTTGGGTGAAAAAGGAATACAGAGTCAGGGTCAGACCTAGATAAGCACCTTTTTGGTAATTTTTTTTAAGAACAGAGTGGCTGAGTGCCTACCCTGCTTCTTGAAGGAGTCACTCCTTCTCTGCTAGAGGTCAAGGATACATCAGTTTATCATACTTCAGGGGAGAAAAAGGACTGGGCTGTGAGGAGGCATCTGAACCACATGGCTCCGCTATCATATATTCAGAAACAAGTAGGCGATGCATGCCTGCCACTAAAAGAGGGAATGAAGGTTTTTTCCCTGCCTCTGACTTTTATACTGGCTGCCCCCCATGCTGGCACAAGGCCAAGCCTGAACTTACCTGGTGCTCAGTGCAACAAGACCCTGAAGAGCAGCAATAGTTCTGCAGAAAAGGAGAAAATTGAAAATGTCAAAACCAGCAGACCGACTTGAGAAAGCAGGTACCACAGTATCCTTGACAATAATTTCTGTAAGAGCTGTGCTGAGCCTCCCACAAATATGTTTTGAAGTCCACTTCCACAGCACGGTACTCCTCTTTCATAACTGATGGAAGTACAAGTTGATTAGGCTTCCCACGCGTGAGTTAGGACACTGTAGCAATGTATTAAGAAAAGAGTTTGCAATGATATATAAGAATGGATTAAAACTAAGCAGTGCCCCACCTCCGCCTTACCTTTAGGTTTTGAGCTGGTTCACTTTTTTGTTTCCTTTCTTCCTCTCTTATTAACTTGGCAGCGTTCTTTTCAAAAAGGCATTGTCCACAATATCAGCTCAGTTAGATTCAGACTGGGAGAGTGCTTTTACCCTCTGTTCCCCCTTCCTTCACTGTTCACATGTGCTCCCAGTGCCAACTGAGACAACAGCTCCAGATACAACCGAAATCAGCCAGGAGACTCTGAGTCTCTAGAGAACTCCTGATACAAGCTGATGTCACTAGGTATTTTTTTAACTAAAGTTTTTTTTTTTATTAAGTTGATGTCATTGTCACACTGCCATTCAAGGTTTCCTTTATTTACGTGATGGTAGCTATCTTTTTTCCTTATTTCTTGCATCATGGTATTGTATCACCTGTAATGGTAACAATTATAGCACAGTAAAGAAAATTAAGAAAGAAAGTCACATTATACCCTCAACTTCACAAATTGTAGTTGGGGCATATGAGACATAATAAGAAGTCAGCATTAATATTTAATGGAAGGTCTTATCTAAATCTTGTGATAGAATTAAAAACAGGTGTGGAGGAACTTTGTAATGTAGGCCACGTTGCAACTGAATCACATCAAATATACTTAGAAACAGACTTTCTTACATCATGCCTTGATATCTGTTTTAGATATTGGACTTCTCCTAAAAAACTTTCAGGATGTGTAAATGCCACAAGACCATATTTAACCCATAAAAAGACAAAGCACTGTCTGGAAATCCAGTAGAGCAAGCAGCTTCTGGCTGCCCAAGGACAACAGCAGTTTTTAGCAAAGGCAGCCAAGAAACTGCAGTCATATAGTTTTTTTGCCTCATCTGCTACTGCAGCCTGTGAAAAAAAGGGTTCATTAGCCAGTAATAAAACGGACAATCCTTACACACTTTTTTCAAAGAGGGCAACATTTGTGTAAATAAGCTACGGTCTTTTCCACCTCCATCCCCAGCAGTGAAACATCCAGCAAGTGAGGAAGGGGAAGCCTATTCTGGCCAGTTTGCTAATTTATCTTTTTCCCCTGAATGATCCTAGTCTACCTGGGACTAGCATGACAACTACTCTGCCCATTCCCATCCTCTCAGCTCCCAAAAAAATGCGGCTTGACATGGAGTAACAGAGAAAGGAACACATGGTCAAACTGTCACTCCTCCCTGAACTGTAACTTTGGTCTTCTCAAATAAAAGAACCAGTGCAGCAGCAGTATCTTAGAAATTGCAGTCTGCTGCAGCTGATCTGTAGTTTTGCCATAAGACAACAACATGTGTGAAAACACTGGATACATGCTTTCTGGCCTCGCTTCAGTATCCTAGGTGATTGCTCTTTGTGCTAAAAAGAACTAGGAAAGAAGAACTAAAAAAGCCTTCATCCAGTAATTTAAAAGTTAATTGTGCCTGGAGGAGTTAAAAGGAACATCTTAGGAAAAGACAAGGGGTCCAATTGCTGGAGAATCACTGAAACAATGAATGAGATTTCAAGCTAGCTAAGCAATTTGGATGCCCTGTTCTATCACCTGTAATAAGAATTACAAACTCAATTTCCCTTGGCAGCTTAGACGAATCACAGCCAGTTGGTTCAGTGACACATGCTCCCTTTGTCTGTCTCCTAGCTCTGCCCTCTTCCCTTCTCAGTTTCAAATGACTGTGATGCCAAATGAAGATCTCTGGATTTGGTTTAGTTTCACTGTATGTTCACATGACTTTTGGAATCTAGACCTCAAAGCAGGATCTTAAACCCTTTTCAAACCAAAAATAAAAATACAAAGGAAGAAGAAGCTTGATTAAACCTCTTCCTGCAAATGAAATAAACCAACTTCT